AGTTCCTGCCTCCAGGTTCCTGCCTGGTTTGAGTTCCCGCCTGGGGTTCTCTCAGTGGACTATGTATGACTCAGGATAAATAAACCAAATACACTGTTCCTCCCCCAGTTGCTTTTGATCGTGGTGATTCCTCACAGCAGTGGGAACCCTCTCTATGACAACTACGCTCTCAGTCACAGGAACGGGACCCATGACCTAGCAGCAGAGATTAAGCTGCAGTCAGAGGGATGCCGAAGCCATGCCCAATGTCACACACTTGTAACCTCAGTGTGTGGAAAGCGGAAGCAGAAGTGGGAGGAATTCTGTGAGTCTGAGATCGGCCGGAAGCAGGCAAAAGTGTGAGATCTTGTCAAACAAATGAACAACAACAACAAAATGCAAAACTAGGTCAATGAGATGACTCAGTGGGTAAGGGTGCTTGCTGCCAAGCCTGAGAACCCGAGTTCGATCCTCAGAACCCACAGCGGGAGGAAAGAACCGACCCCTACAAGTTGTCCTCTGACCTTCACACATGTCCATGGCATGCACGTGCCCATACACGTACATACAAATAAATACATACATAAACGAGACAACAGCCACAGAATAGAAGAGACTAAGGCCAGAGAGGTACCAGAGGTGTGAGGCAGCCTGAGTCTATAGCGTGATGAAAATCTCAGCTGCACCAGAGTGAACCCCGGGGGAAGCTTGTTCTGGGCAAAGAAACGGGTGGGTTATGCGAGTTGTGGGAGGTGCTGTCCTTGTTCTAGAAAGGTCCCAGCCGCAGTGATCTTTGTGTGGAGAGGCTGAGAGCTCCGTGGGGAGGGGCTGGGAGCTCCAGCCTGGCATACTAGCTGTGTCAGAAGAAGGGCACAGCTGGTGTGTGTGAGTAAGGAGATCCTGCGTGACTAGGGTGCAGGCTTTCTGACTGCAGTTCTTAGGACAACAGTTCGGTTGGACACATAGATTCTGATGCCCACCCAGACTGCCAGACTCAGCCACTTGGCTAGGCTGTTTATCAAGTCCTCCAGGCCACTGAGTCAAAGTGTGAGAACCGCTATCCGAGGAACACTCTGTTTGGTGTTCAGTGTGCGTTAGAATATTGGGCAAAGCTGTCCCTTGCTGAAAAGCAGAAGTGCTGGGCCTTCCATCTGGGCCTCTGGATGTCATGTCCACATTTTTTCCATCAACCACGCAGCCTCGCAGCAGCTTACCCGGCACATTCACACACAGCTCTCTTGGGAGAGCAGGCTGCCTGTGTCTTCCCCAAGCACCTTCCACACTGCTCGACTGAGCCACGCTACTCTGACATGGTATCATTGAAAATATTCTCACCACATGCATCGATACATGTACAAATGTGTCCACACGTCTGTCCTGCCCTCCCTGTTAGTCACGCTGTCCCCAGTTTTATCTTGTCTCTGGCCAGGGCTCGTTTTGGTACTTATCAAACAAACACCTGATCCAGACATCTGACTCGCTCTCTAAGCCTGGTCTGCCCTGGGCGGAGGTGCCCTGACACACACATACATGGCCTCTGTAACCTTACGGTAACCTTGACGTGCCGACCGAGCACCTGGACCGGTTTCCTCCCTGCAGACTACCTGTTACCTAAAGACAGAGAGCGGTGCGTGGGCACTGGCTCCCAGCAATGACAATCTTTACCACCCACTTCCTGTGTTGATGGTGCTTTTGAGTCCTGGTGTCTGTCTGAATGAGCTGTTACCCTTCATACTGCTGCTGTCTGAAGCTCAGTTTCCACGTCTGTAATGTGGTGATATAATTATTACACTTAAAGGCTGCTCAGAGGATGAAAGGAACTGAGAGCATAAAGAATTTAGCTCAGCTCATGGGACACAGCACTGAGAAACCGCCCCTGGGAGAGGTTAGCCATAGTTTCCCCCTGAGATAGTCAAGAAAGTACATATCCTTCCCAAAGAGGAGTCTCTGATTGTGGGGCCTTGTGGGGCCTTGTGTGGCCTTGTGTGGCCTTGTGTGGCCTCCCGATCTCAGGTTTGGTGCCTATGGAGATGCCTTCATGCTGCCCTTCTAAACCATTCTCATTAAAATCATGAGAAGAAGAGGAGGAGGAAGAGCAGGACTGTTTCTCCACAAACACCCTCCCCCGGCCCCCAAATATGGACAGGGACCATGCCAATAACTTCTACAGGGTTTGGACAGTTTTATATGAAAAGTGAAGATCCAGGACTGAGGATGCATCTCAGGGCACTTACCTAGTTTATGGAGGGTCCTTGGTTTGACCTCTAGAGGGGAAAAACAGTGAGTTGGGCTTGATGGTGCATGCCTATTATCCCAGCATTTGGAAGCCAGGGATAGGTGGATCTCCATGAGTTCAAAACCAGCCCAGTTTATGTGGGGGAGCCTATCTGAAAAATAAAAACAGAAAGAAA